ACAGCGAGAAATTTTGAATTAGATTGCTTATCTTTGTTCTTTATTTAACAAAAGAATTTGCAGAACCCAATGCCACGAAGATCCACTCGTCCACCGAAGCCCATCCAACAAGTTCCTTTATGATCTCTCGCCATTAACCATTATCTTTTCAGTCATTCGTTTTTTAAAATAAAGACATAGGAATTATTGTGAATTCGCAAACTTTATTATAAACTTTTTTACTCTACGTAATGTTCAAAAGTATTGGTTCGTTCCATGCAAAGTTATCTTCTCCGCGTTCTTTCAGATATACTTATCATAATTCTGCAGGAGAAAGATAATGTCGGTAGAAATAGTACCTCGTGATTTACGTAATCTTCGAGCGTGTCTGCTGTGTTCCTTGGTAAAATCATTGGAACAGTTTGAAATGGATGGCTGCGAAAATTGTGATCGTGTTTTACATATGAAGGGGGACACTGACAAGGTGTACGAGTGTACAAGGTTTGTTTTTTTAAAAACATCCGCGTTCTTGAAATGAACTGCTGAATTTGAAGTATACTTTTCAGCACTAATTTTGATGGTTTAATTGCTTCTATGATGCCAGAGGATTCTTGGGTGTGCAAATGGCAGGTAATGAATATGCCTATTTATTAGTATTTACGCAGTTTGATGTATGTCATTCAAGAAAATCAACCGGAAGTGCAAGGGAATCTATGCTATCTCAGTTTCTGGATCTCTTCCCTCCGCTGTGATATCCGAACTGAAAACTGTCGGTATTAGGTACAAGCCTGGAATGCGAGATACCGCCAGCAAGTAAATTGTGTAATTGCTCATTTTTGTACATTATGGTCACATGGTTCACGCGAGTGAAGTAAACTTTACTGTATTGCTCTTCTAGTTTTTCGCTGTTTTTCAGAGGACATTTGACAAATTGTTTCAAATAACATACTAAACTTTATTAAGATATTAATTTTGGGCAGTCAGGTTGAGAACCATCTTCTCATAAGAATCACATAAAAATCGGCTCCCAGCATGCATTGATCGAGGATGAACAAGCAAATTTACGGAAAGCACCGAATTTGGCAATGCAGATTTTCTAAAACACGTTTTTAATTGATCTAACAAACTACTGCTAACCACGAGTAAACGATAGAGATTATGCTTGGCACTTCTAGAATATCTTTAGAGCATGAATGTTTTAGTTGAAGCCATGTATATACAAAATATCATTGTGACATCTTTTCAAGGATAGGTATTATCTGATCAAAGTTTGGCCTTCTTCCTGGATCTTCATTTAGGCAGATATTCATCAGTCGACTCATATTTCTGGAGATACCAGGAGGAATTTGAACTCGAAGTCCTTCGAGGGCAATCTAGAAATATGCGTTTGTAAGAGGGCATCCAATATATATTTGATCAAACTAATACCTTCATTCCGCACTCCATAGGCTGGAGATCCGAAAATGGCACTTCTCTAGTATTCAGCTCCCACAGCATGATGCCAAAACTCCACATGTCAGCCGCTCTTATGTTCAAGTCCTCAGGATCTCTTTGAAGCGCTGAATTTATGCAGTTAATTAGACCACATTTATAGAAGAATTGCAAAAG